AATACAATACAAAAAAAAAAAAAGATAGCATCAAATATGCCTGGGGATGAGTAGATTCTACCACTACTTTTTCATTTGCAAACTATTGCAAAGCTTTTGTTCTTAGAATAAGCCAGGATATCTTTATGCATTATTTAGCTTTGATCATCAAAGTGAAAACACAAAATTTAAAAATTCTTGCAGAACTCTAGCTTATTTGTACAGATTTCTAGTAAACAAGGACACCAGTTTAAGAAACACTGGTCTATAGAACAGTGGGCAAATATCTGATAACCAAAAAGCTGTTCCTTTTTTTCTTAGAAAAGGTTGGTGACATTTCCGAGGATGTCTGCTGACTTCTCTCTCTTCCTCAGCCTTGATCTGTTCTCTTGTCAGTAAACTAACATCTTCTTTGTTTCTACATGAAAGGACTTTGTAAAGGACTGTCTAGGCTAGGAGCAGGTATAAGGCCTAGACAGAGTTCAGTTAAGTGAACAGAATTTAAATATTTTCACATAATATTAATATTAGAATTGCCTGTTGCCTTTCTCTCTTCCACTGCGCCATTAACTCCTTCAAAAGGACTTTGTCTTACTTCCTATTGATTCCCAGTGTGCGGTACCATGCTTGGCACATAGTAGGCCCTCAGAAAGTGTTTGCTGAAAGAATAAGTCAATATCAGTATAAGAAAGTACTTAGTGGTATGCTGTACATCAGATGACATATTCCAGTGTCTGGTTCTTGGAAGCATATGATCCATAGCTTCTCATTGTGATAAATCAGTTGGCCCAGTAGAAAACTAGTCCCAGCCTGCCTCTGGGATGTTGTCACCTGAAAAATCAGACCAGTTGCCTTCACTGCCTGGTAGTTTAATATCTGGAAAGTGATGAACAGTTTCCCAGTTGGCATATGTCCTCCGATGCCTTCCCCCTTTCCTTTCCTCACCCTGTCATCCTTGTGACTCAGGAAGCTATGATGTTTTTCTTATTCACAGGAAATCTACAGGCCACAATCTGGAGCATGATATCTTCACCATCACTCAGCCTGCTCTGTATAACTCCAGTTGAGGAAGTAGAGGAGAGTGCTTAGCCAGTTTGTTCTTCGGTTTTGTTCTGTTTGCCTGGATTCATTGTGATGATAGACTAAGGAGATAAACTGCATATTGGTTGGAGCTAGCTTTTGATTCTTTAAGATCAAAGCATATTGTTATCGACCCTTATAGGCGTACTTCTTTGGTTAAGTTATTGTTCATTTTTCTCCAAGATAACTTTTTTCTAATTTAGCTTTTTTCTAGCAATGTTTATATCTTTTATCAAAAAACCATGCACCAGATAATGGGCTTTGGTTTCCATCACGTGCTTCAGACATATGATTTCAACACTTGAGGGATAATGTTCTGTCTGGTTCAAGACTTCAAGCTGAAATAACTTTAAGCAGAGAGACTGGCCTTCTGAGCAATTTCTTTACATACATGTCCGCCACTTATTTCTTAATAATCTTTTTTTTTTTAATAGTAGTTAGCTACTGGTAGTAAAAGACAAAAAGGAAAATGTGGTAAACACTAAAGAGTAGGTGCTTCATATACTAACATGTTATGTAAAAGGCATCTAGCCAGAAGAAACCAAGAACTGAAATCTGTTTATCCTGCCTTGTGAGCTGTGTGGTGAGGGAAAGGCAACTGACTTTTCTAAGCATTAGGGAATTTTTCTTCTGAACATTAAAGCTTGCCTTCCACCTCCTTGCCTTCAAGTCTGTCAGCAATCTTAATAAGAGAGTTTGGAATTTGGAAATAGAACATGCAGTGGGGCTTTGTGAAAATATCAGATAGAAAAACAAGATGCTTTGTAGATAAGAACTAATTGTAAATAAATACTTGCATATCAGTGATTGATATTTTATTTCATAACACAGTAGTCAGAGCTATTGTCCTTAGCACTCAGAGTAAAATTGCATGTCTGTATTGGCCTCTGTGTTCTAACCAAATGTAATGGTTTTAGTACCATAGTTTATGTTTTTAGTTTTGCCTCCTCCTATAAAAATTAATATAGTGTGCTCTGAAATAGCATGATGTAAACGAGGGAAAGCAACTAGGCAAAATTTTATGAAAACCGTAATCATGGAACAAATTGAAAAGAGTAACATGAAGATGACTTACCTAACAAAAAGAAAAACCTGGTGTTATCACATAATAAAATAGTGGTAGAAATAACTCACATTGTTGTATTTGATGTGTATATGTACATATACATTTGCACAGATATGCGCACAATCTGTTTCACCAACTGCAATAACTAAAAGTATTTCAGGTTTCCCCTTATTTAAAAAAGCCATATGCTTCCACATTAAATATGTAATGTATAGATACTATCTACTTCCAGTTAGGAATGAGCTCATCACTCATAACTTAAAGGTATACCCTCAGGAAAATAGATAACTATCCCGACACAATCTGTTTTTGGAATAGCAGGGAATCAGCCTAAGACTGTTAGTTAGATTCAGGCCCCACAATCAGCTTTGACCCAAAGCAGAGACTGAGTTTTATTGGTTGGATGGTACACTACCTGTAGTAGTACTTGGGCAGCAAAATGATTAAAGCAATAAAAAAAATTTTTTTTCCCATTGTTAGAACTGGAAGATGTTGATGTTCACAAGGTACCCCTTGAAGGCAAATACCATGTCTGTCTTGGATGTGTATTCCTAGGGTATCACATAGTGGCTGCCACATAATGGGTATCAAAAAGTGTTGTGATCATTACAAAAAATGTGCTTTACCACTGAGTTATGTCCCAAAAGTTTGCTGCATATATCTTGAGCTGTTTCTTTGCTTAAATAGGGAGAAGATCCAATTTATCCGAACCGAAGGGACCCCAGGATTGGTGCGCCTTTCAAGTGATGCAGACCTTGTTATGTTGCTCAGGTACGTAACACAGCTCTTGAAGCAGAAAGTCTCCTGTCATTGGATATTATGGAGCATTTTAGAAAATAATATGCCATTAATGGTTGCCTAAAAAACGTCTCCTTTATTCTTAAAGACTTATAGAAATACTCATGTTGAAGAGTTAGGTGCTGATTGAGTGATAATGTGTTTCAGATTGCATTTGTCAGCACTGAGATCTATTTAATTTTGTTTTTACCCTGCTGGTAAAGGAGGTGGTATTGGAGAAGGGAAAGGTCTTAGAGACTAATGAATAAAACGTCCCCCTCACAGAACGGAGCAGTAGGGTATCTGAGTAAGGTACACATAGTTTACTCCTTCAGTGTAGAAGAGAGGCTATACATACTTTCTTTTGAATTTTTTTCTCAAAATGTGCTTTTTCCCCTTTTGCTGATCTAAGACATTATTTATTTACCTTATGGTTTTGAGAGTTTACGTTTGGGAAATCAAAACAGAAAGTTGAAATTTGCTCACTGGTACTTACTGCCAACTTGATAGACCTTCATAAAACTGACCTATTATATTTTCTTTCCTGATGGTTACATCAGCTTTGGTTTTAGAGTAGTTTAGAAGGGAAACTGGCAAGTTTTCAAAAGACTTTCTCATTTTTGATATTGTTCCTCAAATGAAGACAAACCACAGTAAAATAAAGGTTTGCTCTACCCAGTGGTTGGGACACCCACCTCTGCAGCCTCCGTAGAATTAGAATGAAAGGGAATGCCATGCTGAACCACTCCGGCAATGCTTTGTCAGCCTAGGTGCTGACAACCCTTTCATAGCATTCATGGTGATCTTGACCCTGACCATGTCCAGTTCTCTACCTGATAGTTGCCATATTTGTTGCTATATTTCTGATTGCCCACTTGATTGTTGCCAAAAAAGTTATTTTTCTTTACTGTGTAGTTGAAGCGTAATTCAAAAGGATGTAATCACTTTCCATAGATACTTCACTTCACTTGACTCTGAACAGGACCTATTGAGTGAGGGGTGGAGGGGACTCACTTCTCAGTGTATTGAGCTAGTTCTGAAAGCAGCATGTAGTATGCTAGGTGGTCAGGAAGACTACTGGTCAATTACTATTAGGATGTGATGTTTCTGTGATAGTTTGGTTGGTGATAAAATAGTTAAGTTACAGAATTTTGTTATAAAATTCTGGCTAGGTTATAACTCTTTTGCTTCATTCTAGAAAACTAAAATTTTTTCATTTAAACTAAGAATTCTGCTTTTGAAATTAGTAAAAATAGAAGTTATGATTATCATTCACCTGTCCTTAGTCAAATAACCTTTAGATGCTATAGCCTTAAATATTTTATTACACCATAGCTTAGAATATTTCTACTTCAATAAACACCACAGATGGCATAGTTTCTGTATGTTATGCAATTGAATTCAAAGTATTCAGAATTTGAAAACTCTATCATATATAAAGAGCAAGGCTACATTTCCTCCTGTTTGAGAAAATAAGCATGTTCTCAGAAGCTAATGGGCCCTTGGAGAAGTGTGAGAAATTCACTTATATGTGATAGTTATGTAATTAGTACATACAGTTATTTAATTCTAGACTTTTATTTCATTCGGGTGATCAAATGTGTTTATTATTTTCATAATAGTACAAATGACACAATGTATTGCATGTACATGCTTAAGAAATAATATTTAATGATTATTGAAAAATTGAGGTTTTTGTTCATATTCTCAGTTCTTTATTTTTTATTTTGCTTTGGGGTTTGAGTGATATGAATCAGTGACTATAAACTCCAGCAGTGTACTTGTTGCATACATAATGGAAGACTTTGTGACCGTTTTTATGTTTTGTCTATCTCTTAAAAAGGAAAGTCACTCCTGATACAGATGAACTTGATTGTCAGGAAGCTGCAATGTAGAGATAGTATAGGTCTAGGAGGACATTATTCAATTAAAAATAAGCCCATATAAAATTATTTTCCAATAGGGAGACTTTTTAAATGACCTTGTTGAATTTTCTGTTGATTATTCTATTTAATATATTTTTTCACTAACTGAAGTCATGTAAAAAATATGCCTCCATCAGAGCTCATATAGGAAATGATTGATAAATTTGGCTACATAAAAATTTTAAAATTTTTGTAATGAAAGATACCATATGTAAAGGCATAAGGAAATAAACTGGAAGAATGTATTCACAACACATAAAACAAAGAGATTATGGATACATAAAGAATGCTTTTAATTTAAAAGAAGAGAACCCAATAGAAAAATCGGTAAAGGATATGAAAAGGCATTTCAGAGAAATTGAAGTATGAATAGCTAATAAACTCATGGAAAGATGCTTTAATTACAAAATACAATTTCAAATAATGAGATACCATTTCACATATTAGATTTGTAAAAATTAAAAAGCCTGATAATACCAAATGAGACATAGAAACTCTTGGTAGGATTGGATTGCAGGGCTTGGTAGGATTGGATTGCAGTTTCTACAACCTCTTTTGAGTACAAATTGACACTATCCTGTACAGTTGAAAAGGCTTATGCATTATGACTGAACAACTCTGCCTTTAGGGATATACCATATTTACACTAAGAAACCCTTTTACACGTACACAAGGTGACATATGTAGGGTGTTCATTGCACCATTATTGATAGAAGCACGCAGTTAGGAAAAAAGTAAATATTTGTCAAAAGAGGTGTAAGTAAATAAACCAATATGTTTATAGAATGGCCAACTATATAGCAGGTAAAAGGAATAAACTAGATCCTTATGTATCCACAAAGATATCAGAACTATATTGTTGAATGAAAGAAAAATCTCAAGAATGCTATATACTTACATAGCATTTATGTAATTTGTAAACAATGCATGAGACAAAACCATTATATGTTGCAAAATAGAAAACCGTGAAAGGAAGAATACCTTTAAATCATGGTAGAGGAGAACAAAAAGGACTTCATATACACATGCACACATATACACACAGATATATACATCTATATATAGAAACATACAGATCTATAAGTATGTGTGTGTGTGTGAAGCAAAAATAATAGTGTTAACATTTCTTCCTGGAGGATATGTATCGAGCATTTTCATATTCTCTTGTACGTATTAAACTTTCCAAGTAAAAAATTTCTCTCTTGATATGAAAAATTTCTGAGTATTGGTTATATTTAAAGGAAAGAATAAACATCATCACAAGGGCACAGGTGTAGATGTCTAAGGAGAGGGTGCTAATTCCTACCCTTTAACTAATTTAGCTGTAAGTTTCTAGATCCTTGTGGTAGCAAGTAAGTGAGACTTTGTCTTAGCAGTTAATTTAAAATTCACCTTATTCCATTGGCCACTGATTTATTCAAAAAGAGAACTGACTGTTGCAGGGCTTAATTTGGTATTACAGAGGTGAGAGTACATACTGCTTCTATTTTCGTATCTTCTGACTTATGGTTTAAAAGTAGAATGGTGGTTTGAAAAACCATCACATAAAAATGCTTCGGCTATAGCGGCCTATCCAAGGTGTTGTTACTGCAGTGCTATAATCCAGGGTTTCTAGCCTCAGTAATGTTGACATTTGGGGCTGGCTAGGTCTTTTTTTGCAGAGAGCTACCCTATGCATTGCAGGATGTTTAGCAGCATCCTGACCTCTACCCACTAGATGCCGATAGCACCCCCTCCCCCAGTTACAACAACCAAAAACGTCCTCAGACATTGCCAAATGTCCCCTGGGAGGTGAGGGCAAAATTGCTTCAGTTTAGAACCAGTGCTAGAACTCTTAGGAGTCCTTTCCTTAAATCTCTACAAGATTGAACTGTTTCCACTTCTACTGAATTTTTTCCAAAAACAAGTAATGGGTTTCTAGGTTTGGCCAAGTTTGAAGAAAAAGAAACCTACTTCCACCTCTTAATTAAAAAACATGAGTCCTCTTACTTTTATTGTTATCTTAATTCTGTTTTGCCAAATGGTTACATATTTGAGCTTGGTGCTCAAATCAGTTGTAGTTTTCTTTCTTATAATATTTAATGAAAAGTCTAGGATTCCAAGATCTCAGGTCTCTGGTTATTGTCTTTTAGGAGAGTATTAGAAATAGAAATTTCAATATGGAAGAGAAAAATGACAAATAATCTGAGATCAAAATCCTCTCATTTGAAAAACAGTAGCCAGGGTAAACAAGGGAGCTAATTATTTAGCAATTGTAATTATTTAGGAAGTATTTTGTTTTATTTTGCTTTTAATTATCCAGTTAAATCCCAGGCTCTTTGAAGGTTGAGACTCTGTTGCATATTTCTTGGAGTGAAGATACAGAACATACTTTGAGTATGTATTATGGGTTCTCAATAAACATTTTCTATTGTGTTTGAATCTTATTTCCAAATCTAAAAACCCAGGTACAATTTTCAAACAAACACGTGCATTCAAACTGACATACTAGAATGGTAAAATAGAAATCGTGTTCTCTGAAGTTGGTAGGAAAACAGGTGAAAAAGCACAGGTTTCACAAAAGCTACAACAGCCAGGTCTTTTGCCCCAAGGATTACCTGCAAGGGAAAGGGGACAGGTGCTCCCTTTGGGAAGTGAACTTGATCTTGATGGGATGGGTCAGGGTGAGAGATCGACTGTTTTACACGTTCAGGCTTTAGGCTTTTCCCCACTTCTTTGGCTAAAGTGCCCATTTTGTCTCCTGTCTTTCCCCAGTTTATTTGAAGAAGAGATAATGTCATATGTGCCTCCACATGCCTTACTCCACCCCAGCTACTGTCAGTCCCCACGTGGCTCCCCCGTGTCGTCTCCTCAGAACTCGCCAGGTGAGTCTACCTGCTGCTCGCAGTGAATTCTCTAAGGAGTGAGCCGTCAAGTCACACATTCTGTCCTCCATGAAGGACAGGACGGGAACACTGTGGATACACCTTTAGTGTTAGCTCAGGTTCGTGTGTGGCATTTCCTTCCTCTTAAGAGTGGCTTGTTTCCATGGGGATTCATTTTGACAGAGAGATGATGAATAGGAGGATAAATATTAGTGTATGACATACTCAGATGGAGAATTTACTTTTCATTATGTTACGTAGTGCCTAATGTATCTTGGAAAATATTAGGGCACAAAATACTATGTTGCCTTTTGGTTTTAAAAAGTTCTAGTGAAGAGACCGATTTGATGCACAATAAAAGTAAAGTCTCTACTCCTCAAGAAATAAAATAGAATTTAAATTATTCAGTTTGATGGACTTGGATATTTTTCCCTACAGTATTCACTAATTGCATTAGATAGGAAGAACAGAGATGGATGGGTAGATAGAACATGTTGATAGATAAACTAAACCATGTAATTTTAAACTTTTTTGAAAGAGGTAGGTGTGAATGAAGGAGTGAATGGGTGAATGGATGGATGAATGATAGAAAATGCAGCTTAGCAAATGAGTTCTTTTAAAGGATGATAGTCATAATGTTGACAGAACATCAGCTATATTTATCCTTATTATATAGGCAATGCGTTGTTCACACTTTAACAGCTATTAGAATTTAAAACTATTTCAAATAGAGATCCAAACGCCACATGTGTCACAAAAAGCTTCTATTATGTTCTTTGATATCTAACATATGGTTCCCCATATTGCTATGATAATGGAGCTGTAGCCTAATTGAATACTGCAGACAGGAAAAGGTCTATTAATTTGTTCATTCGACACAGATTTATTGAGCATCCAACTATGATCCAAGCACTGAATTAGACCCTGGGACTACAAAGATGAATGATACAGTTTCTGCCTTTGAAGAATTCATGGTGGGGCAGTGAGTCAACAAATGACTCTGTAAAGCTCCGTAGTTAGTCCTGTAATGAAGAAATGTATGAGAGCACCGATATGGGAGCAACTATTCCTTCAGTGTTGGGGCTGGGGTGTTTGTGTCAAGGTGAAGACAACAGGTATGAAGTAGAGCCTGGAAGGATGATGACTAGGAGTTTATCAGGTGGACAAGGACATTCTAGTAAAAGGGGTAGCAGAAGCTATGCCTCAGAAACATGAAAGCAGTTTAGGGGAATTAAGAGAGACACATGAAGAGAAGTTCTCAGAGCTCAGGTTGGAAATGTAGGCTAGTGCTAATTTGTCTTTGAAGCCTTCCTTTGTAGTCTGTGTGAAGCTGAAGAAAATTTATAAAGAGGAATACCAATAATATCCTGTTTTTTGGAGATCAGTTTGGTGGCAGTAGGAAGGATGGATTAGAAGACGAGAGACCAGAGTGAGAGAGACTGTTTGGGGGGCGATTATGTTAGCCCTGGTGACATGGCACAAGGCTGGATTAGACAGTGGCAGTGGAGAGGGAGACGAGGGAATTCATTGAAGGGATGTGTAGGATGTAGAGACATTAGCACTCTAAGCTGAGGTAGGGAAGAGTCAAGGCAGATTTGAAGGTCCTCACCACCTAAACTACCAGGCAGATGGTAGCACCATCCACCAGGAACAGAAAAGGTTTAGACTGAAGAGGAGAGGTTAAATGAGTTGGATTTTGGACATATTTGTCATGAAATCTTTGAGCCATTAATTAAAGATACTCAAAAACAACTGGAAAAGATAGTCATGGAGCTCAGGAGAGGTTGACAGCTAGGAAATCAGTGTACTGGTGGCAGTTTAAACCCAGAGTGTAACTTAGAGGAACTAGGGAGGACAAGTCAGTGAAAAGATGAGAAAATAGAGGGTGGTGACATGAGGAACCCCAATATTTAAGGGATGATCTGAGGCAGAGGAGCAAGTGAAAGAAAGAGAGCCAGTGGATCTTGGAATAGAACCAGTGAGTCTTTTCAGGAGAGTCAGGTTTCGAGGAGGAGTGGTTAACAGGGCCACATGCTCAAAGGGTTCAGAAAGGATGAGTCTGAAAACAGGCCATTAGATGTGAATATCGTGAACTTATAAATGGTCTTTGCCAAAGTGGGTTCTATGAAGTGATAGGTCATACACTGGATTGTGACCGGTTACAGAAGGATCCTGTATGTAAGGTAGAATCCAGGAGTGGTGAATGCTCTTTTCACAAAGTATGGAGGTGAAAAGAAGGCAAAATAGGACAGAAGTTAGAAGAGGGAAGGAAGGGATTTTAGGTGGGGAAGGTTGAGCGTGTGTGTGCAGAGGTCATGGGATGTGGGAGGAAGGAAAGTGGTTGGTGGAATGCGACAAAGAAGCAGTGGTCAACACGGCACAGGCCCATGGGAAGGCTGGACAGGGGAGGCAGCGGCACAGCCAGCTTTGGAACAAAGTAAGGACACCTATTTTGATGACACAGGCTGGGAGGAAATAAGTGTATGACACTACAGGTAAGTTTAAAGGTGTAGGGGGAAATGGATAGAATTCCCAGCTGGCCTCAATCATTTAGCAACTGTGGGACTTCGGGCAATTTACCTCCTTCCCTGAACCTGAATTTCTTTTTCTGTAAAATGGGCATAATAATAATCACCTCATTTCTCATGGATATTTTTGAGAGAACACCTTGCCTGGTGCCTGGAACATCATGAGTAGCTAATAAACATTAATTTATCCCTTTTTCTTTCTTTCTGGAAATTGGATTCCAAGAAGCATGGTTTGTCCTTATTTGAACTGTTAATAACTGAAATAATTGAATCTATTTCTTCCTGATTTGCAGAGCTGGCTGCTTAGATATTTAATCATCCTGACTGGTGTTTATCTTGGTAAAACCTGTGCTAAAGTTTAAAATGGATTGTCCCTTTACCTGATGTTTGTGGTTGAGGAAATGGAGCCGCGTGGATTATTGCTTGTGCCAGTCTAGGCTCTTCTTTCCAGGCCTTTTCTGTGGCCCACCGTCCCTGGGGAAAGGGAGATCACCAGATTCTGTCTCTTTGGAGCCATGCAAAGGCGTGCTCTCGAAGATGGCTGCACATTCTTGGAGACTATATGAGCATTCTAAATATTGACTAAACGCGCATCTTCATTTAGCATCGCAAATGCACATGAGTAATCCTTGGTGGCAATAAAAAAAAGTGCATTCTGGAAACTTAGATTTAGAGTTAAACATTTTCCAAGACATGTGTAACCCAAATATATCTAAATTGCTGGCAGTATTTGTAGTGGTTTTAATTTTCAGGAAGAATCATCTCCATATTTTTGGCCTACTCTGTTTCAGTGGGCTTTGTTTGATCTTGAAATTGGGATGTACAGCCTGATATCAGTGGAAGCAACTGTAACTAGTTCCACATGAGCCAAGGGCAGGACTAGCTAACCTCGTTTCCCCTGTGGAGGAATCATCCATTTCTTTGTATAAAATAGCTTCTCCTTCTACCAGTATTCCTGAAGGTTTTGTGAAAGCAGCATTTCAAACAGATTTTTAAAAGTGATCTGATCCTCCTCCTTGTGGCTACAATTACACCACTCTTAGTGGTGTGAGAATAACATCGTGAAAATTACGACAATAATAAATTTTAATGATCTTCCTTCAGAATGCCTAGGAACCACACTTTTCCTCATTCCAAGCACATTTACATGTCTTTTCAAGTACAGAGAGAAAGGGGCTTTGGAAACTTTGACTCACTGCGTTTTGCAGCTGTTCGAGTGCTCACCTAAAATTTGTCAAAATTGTGGAATGTGAAGGTTTGTTTTTCTGGGACCACTAAAATGCCAATCCCAACCTCAGCGATGCCAGAAGGAAAAGATCTTTCCAAACACCATATGGTTTATTACGCCAAATATGGGACCCAGAAGTTTATTTAAGCTGCACATTTCTAGGAATTTAAATGCAATGACACCTAATTTGTCTAATATTATTGGAGATGTGCTCTCGTATGTGAATTTTCCAGGTTAACCACGGCTTTAACTGCATGACTTTAATTGCATAAGAATTTGTTTAACCCACTATTTGCTGAAACTCCTTTATAACAGCATTGTATTTTTCCTTGCTTTCCTATACACAGCACATTGAGGCTATCTCATGGTTTGGGGGATCGTTGTGCTGAGGAATTGCAACGCAGAGCTGTTGTTATTTGACTAGAACTGGATTTCCTAGAAGCTAGTACCAGCACAAAGTCACACTCAATAGAAGTAAAACACACTCAGAGGGCATAGAAGAGCCTCGTGGGTCTTTGCTGAAGGCTGTCTTGAGGGGATGGGCTGTGTAGGGAAATATTTCTCCCAACACATGATGGACTCCCTAAGGATCTTTTTTTCTCTCTCTTCCTGTAAAGTCTTAGTATCTGTTTATCTCATCTCCTACTCTTTTCACAAATATTCTCTCTTCTCCACTCCCCTTCTCTCTCCCTCTTCTCCTCCCTCCCTCTCTCTTCCTCTCTATTTCTCTCTTTCTCTCGCTCTCCTTTCTCCCATCTTTCCTACAATCCCTGAAGTAGCTTTATACCTGTTTTTTAAAAAAGCATTCTCTCCCTTCCCTTGGCTCAGCACTACAAAGATGATCTGGGAACCAAATAGCACAAATGAAAGATGCTCCCCAGGTGGGTAGAGTTGTAATTCCGGAGACTGAAGGAAAGCCCCAGATACCGTCCCTATCACAGCATAGAGGTTTTATTTGTTGCTGTTGTTAGTCTCCCATGTCCTCACCCCCAGTGCTGTCAAAGGATGCCTGCCATCGTCAGACCCTTCAGCTTTCCCTTTTTGGTAAGTTGCTTCTTTGCCAATACCTTTGTCAAGGTCTGAGAAATAAGAGCATCACTTGGTGTTTTCCATAATGATATGTACGTGAGCATCAGCGAGCTCAAAAACTGACCTGAGAGCCTTTTACCACTCTTAGAGAATGAAGCAAACATGCACAGACTTCGGTGCTTGTGCTTTGTGCCAGCTATTTTGGAGATGTTTTC